TTTTGTAGAAAAGCCCTCAAAAACCTCAGTTTGGGAAATTTGATATAAGCAATGAAAGGCCATGTAAAAATTCTGAGCTGTGGCCGGGCGCGGTGGGAGGCCGAGGCGGGCGGATTGTTAGAGCTCAGGAGTTTGAAACCAGCCTGAGCAAGAGCGAGACCCCGTCTCTACTAAAAATAGAAAGAAATTAATTGGACAACTAAAAATATATAGAAAAAATTATCTGGGCATGGTGGCGCATGCCTGTAGTCCCAGCTACTCGGGAGGCTGAGGCAGGAGGATCGCTTGAGCCCAGGAGTCTAAGGTTGCTGTGAGCTAGGATGACGCCATGGCACTCTAGCCGGGACAACACAGTGAGACTCTGTCTCAAAAAAAAAAAAAAAAAAGTTCTGAGCTGTTTAGAGATATCAGGTTTTTATTTAGAAATTAATTCTGCAGAATGAGTGAGAGTGGGTAATGAGATAAGAAACAAGGAGACCAGTGGGGAGGAGATGCTACATGAAACACTTCAGTATAAGGGGGTGTGGAGAGGCTCAGGATTCAAGAGGCATTAGAGGGTAGATCAGTAGGCTGAACTGCCATCTGGAGGGAGGGACCTGTGTCAGCTTCCAGGTTTCTGGTTCCGGTCATGTCCAATCAGTCCCTGGATATAACTCTGGCAACCAGGAGGAAGATCTGCACTGTGATTATATTAATATTGGAGTTGGGCATGACATTGTGATGGCACTGAAGTCCCAGGTGGAGGAGCTCACTGCCAGATCGAAAGCCTACGAGGGGAAATGGAAGTGTGGACAGACCCAGGGAACACCAATGTTTAGGAAGTAGGCAGGGGGGAAGGAGGAGCAAGAGAGCAGGTGTCCTTGAAACCAAGGGAGGAAAGTGTTTCAAAAACAAGAGAGCAGTTAGTAGTAACCCTCCACGTGCAAATTACAGCAGTAGGGAGATGTTTTTACTTACCAAATCAGCAGAGATTTATTTATTTATGTATTTAACAATAATACCTAATGTTGGCAAGAGTGAAAGAAAATGGGCATCCTCATGCTATTTGGGCAACAGATAATATATATCGAAAATCTTCAATAGTATATATGCCCTTTGATCCAAATATTCCTTCTCTAGAAATTTACTCTAAAGAAATCATCATGGATGGGTAAAGATAATTCTATAAGATTGTTCATAACTGCATTGTACATAATATAAAAATATAAACATATTATTTAATAACATAGGCTTGATTAAATAAATAGGTAACAATATGATGAAAAATACCATGAGCCCATTAAAAATATGTGTGAAATAATTAATGACATGATGAAATGTTGCAAAATATCATGAAATGAATAAAACAGTATGATCCTGTTTTCTCTGTTAAGAATATACAGGCTGGACGTGGTGGCTCGTGCTTGTAATCCTAGCTTTGGGAGGCTGAGGGGAGAGGATTGCTTGAGGTCAGGAGTTCCAGACCAGCCTGAGCAAAAGTGAGACCCCTGTCTCTATAAAAGAGAAAAATTAGCCAGGCATGGTGGCATGTGCCTGTAGTCCCAGCTACCCGGCAGGCTGAGGCAGGAGGATCCCTTGAGCCCAGGAGTTTGAGGTTGCAGTGAGCTATGATGACGCCACTGTACTCTAACCAGGGTGACAGAGCCAGGCTCTGTCTCAAAAAAAAATACACACGCACATGTATATATATATATACTCACACATACACACACACACACACACACACACACACATATATATACACACACACGAACATGTGTAAGAAAAAGATATACCAAATATTACCAATGATTATCTCTGGAACATGGGTTTGGGTGATTTTTAAACTTTTTTGGGGGGTGATCTTTTTACTTTTCTATATTTTCAAAAGTTACTATAATAAACAAGTAACCTTTGTCATCAGGAAAAAGTATTTTTTAGTGCTTTGAATAGTATAATAATACTGTTTTTATAATAATAATAATAGCTAACATTTATTGACCGCTTACTATTATATAAGCCAGTGATTGTGCTAAGTGCTGTATATACATTCCCATTTAATACCCATCACAATCTTAGGATCATTAGCCCCCTTTCCTGGATGGGAAACTGAGTCTGAGAGAGGTTAAGTAACTTGCCCAAGGTCACAGAGTTGTCAGGCAGCTGGGAAAGCCTTTGTTTTGACACCACTTTCTCCAAGAAACTTTCCCCATCTCAGTTCCCTTCCGGTTCTGGTGGTCTGGGATTCCACTCACAGGTCACCCAACCCCCACTTCCCAGCCCCCCTCTGCCCTTCCAGACACTTCGCCAGCTCCTCTGTCGGAACACACCTTACATTCTGCCTCTGGAAACGACTGTGTTCACCAACTGTCACCCTGTTAGAGTGAGGGCCGATCAGGGGCAGGGAACTTGTCCACTTGATCTCTGGCTCAGGGCACAGCACACAGCAGCCCACGGTGGCTGTTGCTGAACTGAACCGAGGGCCGAGGCCCTTTGGAATGGCTAACACCTGCTGTTTAGGTTTATAGCAATGTGAAGCCCATTGTTTAGGGAACATGGCTATTTCCACTGGTTCTAAATCGATGGAAATTATTTCTGTTATAAGAATCAGCCCAGCACTGGGCAGCTTGCAGTCTACCTGGGAGCCCAGCATTGCACAAAACGCACCCTGAGAATTGCAGGCCAGATCTGAGGCCCCAGATGACATGGTGTGGACTCAAAGGGGAGCACAGAGGGGCACAGAGAGGACAGTGAGGGGATGGGCAGAAGATTCAGAGATCCTGACCAAGCTGACGTGGGGACGACCCCTTGACTCTGCCTTCTGCCTCAGTCAAGCCCTGCAGATTCGGCCTCCTAAAGAGTTTTGTCCTCTGCCCCTCCACCCCTTCACCATTAGAGGCTCATTGTCATTGTAATCACCCCCCTCTAAGTTGTTCCTACCTCCAACTGAAGGGCTCCAACTCCTGCCTCCTTCCCGCCTATCTATATTGCCCTCTGCATTAGGGTTCTGCTCTTGCCTTGGGCATTTTCAATGGCTAATCTGCATTATCCTGAGGATAAAGCTCAGTGTCCTTATGGGGTTTACAAGCAGTGTGAAAATTTACCTGTTGGGTAAAATACAGACTAGGCATGTGCTTAAGACACCAGCAAATGATTATTTACCTTAAGAATTTATTGATACTGAAAACTTTTTTGAAGTGATCACTTCAAAATGTATTTTTGTTAGGCATTATACACTTGTTGGAGGTTTAATCTTGAATCCACATGGGGGACACCATAATCACTTGGTGCCCAGAGCCCTCATCTAGCCCCCTGTAAGGCCCTTTGTGATCTGTCCCTTGCCAGCCCCTTCAGCCCTGGCCGTTTGTCCCCTGGGCTCTCCGGGATCCACTGAACAGCTAACCTGCACGTGCCCGCCTGCCCCAGCCCAGCTCCACTGCTGTGAAACCTGGGGGGAAGTCCCTTAATATCTGTGTTCCTCAGTTTCCTCACCTGTTAAAAAGAGAGGGTTCCAATGGTATGTATCCCGTGACAATGAGGGAGCATTACAGAAGTGACACAGGACACACACACTCAGAACATGCCTGGCACCTGGTAAGTGCTACTTGTTACCTGCCATTGTTAGGCTCCCTGGAATCTCAGGGCCTTGACCCAAGCTATTCCCTCGGCCTGGAACACTTTCCTCCCACTGACCTTTCCTGTCCTGCCAGACCAATTCCATCCAGCTTTACAAGCTCAGTCTAGGTGCCACTTCCTCCCACACCGGAAATGAATAAATGAGGTGAGAGAGCAGCTAGGAAAGAGCAAGGTGTGAAGAAAGGGGCTGAGTCAATAGAGGCGTTTCCGTGAGGATCTTTCTCTTGCAAGCCTTGCACCGGGCCGGGCCACGACAATTGCGAAGATTCGAAAAGACGACTCTCCGGTGCTTGCGAGGGCCCTGGAGGTCCTTGGCCAGGCTGGAGGCCGGCGCGCCTCTCCTCCGCGCGGCTGAGTCTGCACCCGGGTCCGCAGGGCGCACAGCGAGCGCTGGCGGGGGCGGCCGGTTCAGGGCGCTGCCGGAGAGCAGGCGGGAGCCCGGCGGGTGGTCGTGCCAGGAGGAGCCCCTGAGCAGGTGTCCGGGAAGGAGGACCCGCAGCAGCGCGCGCAAGAGGACCTCGGGGAAGGCACCGGGATGCGGCGAGGTGCTGCGAGGGCCGGAAACCCCAGCTCCGCTGCTGCTGGCAAAAGAATGTGCCCCACCCTCGGGGCTTGGCTGGCATCCGCCCTGCCTCTCCAGACAGGACTGAGGCCGTGTGTCTGGCCCGGTGGCAACACCCCGCGCCACATGCGGAGCTGCCCGACCAGGACTCGGTATCCCCGCCTGAGCGACAGCATCAATGACAACGCGCAGGAGCGCGGGTTCCAGCTTTCCCCGACGGCGCCGCCACCCTGGGGTCCCAGAGCAGGGGATAGAGGCTGGGTGGGAGCCCAGGACGACACTGACGGTGCTGGCGCCCGGGCTACGGACCCCTTGCCCGGCCCGCCCACCAGCCACCGAGAGGTCGTCCCGGGCGTCGGTTCCCGGGCTTGGCCCCGCCCTCGCGCTCCGGTTGGTCGCGCCCGGGGCGGGGCGGGGCGAAGGGCCCGGGCGGACGCGGCGGGCAGCACAGACGGCGGGGCCGGACCAGGGACTCGTGGGTTCGCGCTGCCGGGATCGCTGCCGGAGCTCGCCCGTCGCCCCTGCAGGTTGCGCGGACCTCGGCCTCAGCCGGACTGGCGGCCACGGCGGTGACAGACGGATCAGCCGACGGTCCCCAGTCCGCGGAGTACCCCTGCCCAGAGGCTGTGGCGTGCACGTCTGCACGGCCCCGGCCCGGGACAGGTGCCGCGCGGGGACCGCTCTGGGGATCGCTTTGAGGCCGCCGGCGACCCCCGGCCCGTCCTGCCGGCCGCCGAACCCAGCCCGCCGCCCACCTTCAAGGCGTCCGGGCCCGGCCGGCCGCGGAGCTGATGCGCGCCCGCTGAGCCCCGGCCGGCCCGCCATGGCCGCGCGCCCCGGCCCGCTCTGGCTCCTGGGCCTTGCGCTGTGCGCGCTGGGCGGCAGTGGCCCCGGCCCGCGGCCCCCGCCCGGCTGTCCCCAGCGTCGTCTGGGCGCGCGCGAACGCCGCGACATGCAGCGCGAGATCCTGGCGGTGTTCGGGCTGCCCGGGCGGCCCCGGCCCCGCGCGCCGCCCGCCGCCGCCCGCCTGCCCGCGTCCGCGCCGCTCTTCATGCTGGACCTCTACCACGCCATGGCTGGCGACGACGACGAGGACGGCGGGCCCCCGGAGGGGCGCCTGGGCCGCGCGGACTTGGTCATGAGCTTCGTCAACATGGGTAAGTGCGGGCCGCCGGGGATGGCGTCGGGGACCCCGCGGTGACCGTGTGAACAGCGGGCTGCGTGTACGGGGCCGGCGCCTTCACTGTGGCCTCTCGGAGAGAGAACACGAGCTGCATCCTTGGACAGTGCCAGACCTGGGCCGGGAGCGGGAGTCGCAGGGGGATGGATGCAGCACAGGGGTGTGGGGACTGCCGTGGTCAGGGAAGGCCTAAGGCAGTGGGACTCCCGGGGCTGCAGAGCGGGCAGGAGCGGCACGGAATGTGGACTCCCAGGGGCTGCGTTCGCCCCTCCCCAGCACACCCAGGAGTCAGAATCCGGCGATGTCTGTGCCCACCTGCGCTGCACCAGGAAGACGGCCTGGTCCTGGGAGACAGATGAGTAAACAGAGGCTGGGATGCTGTCACTGTGATAAGGGCAGTGCTGAGGAGAGGGACAAAGTTCAGTGTGGAAACCCGTGGTCACATCATCAAAGTGACCAGAGCTGACCCACTTGCCCTGAGTCCACAGCAGGCTCTTCCCTGTGCAGAGTCGCACAGCTGGGTGGGGCCAGCTGTCAGGGGAGCCCTGGGGAAGGAGCAGACTCTCGGCTTGGTGGGGCAGGGACTGTGTCTTGTCACCTTGGGCCCCAGCAGCTGGGATGTGGCCTGGCATGGAGTCAGTGTCCAGGCCTGTGGAATGGCCCAGTGGGCAGCCTGGACCCTCTTTGTTCTCCCAGGCAAAGCCTGGCTTTTCCTCTCTGCAGACAGTTTTCTCTAAACCATGGAGCCATTTACTCTTAAAGGTCTCAAAGTTATTTTTTCCCCTAGAAAACTCTCTGTAGTGTGTGGTCCTGAGTATTTCCTGTTGGTCAGGCCCCCATCCTCTCTATGGCTAGTGACAGGCAGAGGTCTGGGTTGGGCAGACAGCAGGCTGGGCCTGGGGACCCAAGGAACACAGCTCAGACTGAAGTGGTCAGGGGAGCCGAGGGCTGAGAGCAGGGAGAGGACCCGTGCCACGGCCACCAGCCTCCTGTCACCTACAGCATCACTTTTGACCCTCCAGCAACCCTGTTCACAGCAATGGTCCTCATCCCATCTCCCAGATGAGGTCAGGGAGGCTCGGAGAGGCAATGTCACACCTAGGATGGCACAGCCTCTACACGGCTGAGCCAGGACACGCCCAGGTCTTCTGACTGTACATCCAGTGCTCAAGGAGGTGACATTTCTCTTGTCAGGTTAGGCTCTCAGGGTAGAGAGAGCTTTCTGAGGGATTTGGGCTGAAGAACACGGGGGACTGAGCAGCTGCAGGTTTTGTGGGGTCCTCAGCCATTTGCTTCCTCCACTAGGGCAGGGCGAGGGGACAGCCAAGCCTCTGCTCCCCCTACCCCAGAGCTGGTGGTGGGCCGAGGTGGGGAATGAGCAGCGGGAGGCAGCCATTAACCAGTGCTGAGAGCCCAGTGCCAGGCACAGGACTCCAGCCAGTGGGATCTGGATGCCACCTTCCTGGTTAGAGGGCAGGGTGGGGATTTGGGACAGAGGAGACATATGATATGTGGGGTTGGTACCAGGGCTCCATCCTCAGGACAGGCTGACCTGAGGCTCAAGACCAAGAAGAGTTGAGGATGGAGTCACCCAAGAATATGCCCAAGGAAGCCACCCATCAGAATGAATCACCACTCAGCCCACGTCATGTTTCCCCCCCGGCATGCCCTGGGGTGGGTCAAGGCATGCACAGCCTGGAGCAAGCTGTTGCTGAGTCCAGCAAAGCCTACTCCTGCTGTGTGACCTTAGAGAAATCCCTTGCCCTCTCTGAGCCTGGGCCCCTCCTTGTAAAGTGGGGCTCCTAGTGATCTGTCCTCAGGGTGGTTGTGTAATTAGTTGATAGAGGGGGAGGAGCAGAAAGTCAACCCCCCGCCCCTCGGAGGGTGCACCTGTGCCTGGCCACTGCAGGCCCCAGTCCCTCCCAGCTACAGCCCAGCCTTGGCGTGGATGTGACAGGAACTTCCCCACATGTCTTGTGCACATGTGAAACCCAGAAATGGCCAACCAGAAAGTGTCTGTAGCTATTTTTAGAGTAGAAATTAGTATGTGACCTTTCATAGCCTTACAATTCCTCATTCAATTCATGTGAAACTGTTTTGCCAGCCCCATTTTATGGGCTCAGAGAGGTTAAGTGGCCACCCCAGGCCCACACAGCATGTCCAGGACAACATCCACGGCTGTGGATTCCAAATCCCAGCTTCTTCCCACGCCAGCTCTGCATGTTTCATTAAGACCCGGGGCCTCGGACACTATGGGATTAACAAGCAGATCTTTGTTCGGGGGAAGCGCAGGCTGTGGGCGGGTGCGGCGGCTGTCAGAAGGGCCTTCTTTATCCTGGTGCACTAATGACGCTAGCAGAACTCTCTCAGTTAGGGCAGTGTTAACTGGCAATTACGGAGGCTGTCTGGGGCATTGGGCACATGCCAAGATTCTCTCCGTGTTTGGAGCCCAGGCCCCAGGCCCCTGAAGGTCCGAGGCCCCAGAAGCACCACGGGTGTAATAGCAGGGCCGCTGCGGTGCCACACCCACGCCGGCTCCCACACCTGCTGCCTCCAGCCCCACCTCTCCCATCAGCCAAACGTGGCTCCTGAGAAGCCAGGCCTGGTGCCCCCAGGCCCCTGCCCGGCGATGGCAGCCTGTGGGACCCAGAGGCCGGGCCTGTCCAGACCTCGCACCCGTGGCTCAGGCGTCGTGTGGAAGGGGCTCCAGGAAGCCGTCGTGATTTACGGCACCTGCGCTGGGGGCCGGGGCCTCGGTCAGACGGTGTCCCAGCCTGGCCTGTGTGTCCACATCAGCCCGTAGACCCGCAGCTCGTCTTCGTCCCAGCAGTAATGGGGGCTGTTACCATGGGGAGCAGATGGGTCCTGTCCCTGGTCCCCCCGTGCTCGGGGAGGGGAGAGCCCTGAGCCGGCAGACAAGACCCAGGTTCCTGTACCGCCTGGGCCCGCCATTGATTCCAATGTGTTCCGAGCCGCGTCCCTTCCCTTCTCTGGGCCTCTGCTTTCTCGTCCAGTCTACAGCGATGGTACCAGAAAGGCGAGGTGCTCCCCGCTCTGGCCCTGTGGTGTGTCAGAGGCGTCTTCTCACAGCACCGCGTCCCCTGCCCCAGCGCCTCACCCCGCCTGGCCCCTCCCGAGGGAGGAAGGACGGCAGGAAGGACCGACTCTGCTCCTTCTCCCTGAACCCTCTGCAGCAGGGATCACCGCAGAGGCAGATGCCTGTGTTCCAGATGGAGAAACCGAGGCACAAACAGTACCAGCAGGCAGAAGTCTAGCCAGGGTCCCTTTGCCCTGACCCTTTCCTGAACCAGACTGATCTATCCCCGTGGTGTCTGGTGGCTGAGGACAGGGGTGTTGATGAACTAACCGAGCTGCTGGTTTGGGAGAATCAGGACTGTGCGGATCAGGAAGCTGCCCAGGTCCTGCTCTGCCCTTGCCAGCTCTATGGCCTTGAAGGGTGACGCTTTATCTCCCCGAGTCCCAGGGTCACATCCTTCGCTTCTTTACTAGGGAACTCTTTCACTTTCCCATTCGTTCATTCGTTCATTCAAATAAGTTATGTAGCACCTGTTACCTGCCAGGCACAGTTCTAGTTGGGGACACCACAGTGAACAAAACCAAGTCCTTGCCCTCCTGGAGCTGACCCTCCAGTGGGAGAGACAAATAGTAAATACATGAGCCATGAAGATAATTGTCAGGAGCCCTAGACAGTGACCCCCTCTCTGGAAACAGGAAGGGCTGAACGATGGCAGGGCAGACAGGACCGGGGTGAGGGTTTCTGACCTGGGACTCGCACACACAGAATTGGCATCCTGACTCCGACACCTGCTCTCAGTCTGATCTGGGCTTTCCAGCCCACCTCTCCCAGCCTCAGTTTCCTCCTCTGGAAAATGGACATACTCAGCTTATGGGGCTGTTTTGGGCTTGTGTGAGATGCTACCTACTGCTGACCACATGCCCAGAACCTCCACATCTGATAATTTCCATCTCACAATGACTGTCACATCTTTGTTTTAAAAGGAGGAGTGTGAGTGAGGCTCAGAGAGGTTAGGTGATTTTCCTAGGGTACACAGTAGGTTGTCTCCCTGCCTCCACATCCTCTGCTCTTCTACACAACAGCTGCTTGTCCCCCGAGCCCAGGGCCTGGCCCATCATAGGGTGCAGTGAGTGCTGCTGAAATGGCCTATGTTGAACGTGAACATGTGATGTAAACGGAGACTCCTGTTTTAAAAATATTTTTGTTTTGGGATTCATAGAACTAATGCATGTCCCTTTTATTGAATTAAGACTAAATTAATTATAGAATTTCATTACAGAAAGTTTGTATCATGTATTCAGAAATATATAATATGGAAACTCCAGAAATCTTCCCTCTACCCCAGAGAAAACCAGTGTTTTAATCCTTTGGCGTAGCACTCCCCCCCAATATTTTGTCAATACAGATACTATCATTTGTGTTATTATTTTTTACTAAGTGAGACGTAAATGCTAAACGTTTTGCTACTTTGTATTTCATTTAACAATAAATCTGCTGGGTATGGTGGCTCACCTCTGTAATCCTAGCACTCTGGGAGGCTGAGGTGGGAGGATCACTCGAGGTCAGGAGTTCAAGACCAGCCTCGGCAAGAGTGAGACCCCCGTTTCTACTAAAAATAGAAAGAAATTAGCCGGGCAACTAAAAATAGAAAAAAATTAGCCAGCGTGATGGTGCATGCCTATAGTCCCGGCTACTCGGGAGGCTGAGGCAGGAGGATCGCTTGAGCCCAGGAGTTTGAGTTTGCTACGAGCTAGGCTGATGCCACGACACTCTAGCCCGGGCAACAGAGTGAGACCCTGTCTCAAAAAAACCCCCCAATAAATCTTTTGTCCACCTTAAAAGCCGACTTGTTAGAGTGAGCATATGCCGAAAGGTGTTTGATTTTCCCCACGATGCTGTCTACCAAGCAGGAAGATGTGCCTTATGGATCCCCAACAACCTGTCCTTCCTATCTCCTTGGTGCTTTCTCACCTCTGGGGT